AACTGGTCTCTTGGCAACCACCTCCCACCCACCACCATTAGCAAAGCCAAGCCATGGCCAAAGCCCCCAGGGAAAGGAAGATTGCTACCTTGTTCCCTGGCTGAAAAGGAGCCAGGGCCATGAGCTCCTGACCTGGCTCTCACCTGCTAGAGCACAGGCCACAGGCGTAGAGAACTACTCAGGGTGCCCTGGATTCTCGTGCTTTCTACCTCATAGGGAAGAACTCGTATTTTGAGTAGGAGACATATCCGCCCTGACTTCTATTGTTTGCTTGCATTTGCATCACAAACGTTATCTTCAGTTGTGGTTTTCTCGAAGAAACAGTGTTAAGTCACATATCCATTTGTGAGGAGAGTTAATATGGTTAAAATTCGGCCGTGTAACCTGTAAAGCTACTTAGCTAGGTACTTGTGAGCTGGAACCAACACAGTAGATAAGGCCTATCAGCATTAGTTCAGTGGTGAAACCGGGCCTGTCTGGGGACAGTGAGGTGAGAGAATGGAGGAACCAGGGGGGAGCTTGTTTGGATGCTCTAACCTGAGGGCCCAACTTCTGTCACTGTGTCCAGGTGTGGAAGGTCTCTCCTAAGGCGGAACAGAAGAGACAATGCCCATCTCCAGACTGGCTTTGACTCTCCTGGGACCAGCACCAGAGTATTCTTTCTGCTTATCTAGGCTGAGAGGGGGTGGTGGTTATGCCCTCGGCATGAGGAAATTTGGAGAGGTTGACCTTCAGATGCCAGCATCTGCATGTTCTGCCCATTCACCTGGGCTGAGGAGAGGAAGGATTAGCATTTATGCCCTGGGCCTGAGAAAGTTTGGTGTAGCCACTTGTCTCTAAGGAAAAAAAATCTAACTTTTAAGGATCCATTTTGCCATTCCTGTTACAAAAGTACCACACACTGGGTAGCTAAAACAACAGAACCTTATCATCTCAGTTCTGGAGACTGGAAGTCCAAGATGAAGGTGTGGACAGGGCTGGTTTCTCTGAGGACTATGAAGGGATCTGTTCCTGACCTCTTCCCAGCTTCCAGTGGTTTGCTGACAATCTTTGGTTCCTTGGCTCGTAGAAGCATCAACCTGATGTCTACCTTTATCTTCACATGATATTCTCCTTGAACATGTGTGTCTGTTCTAATTTCCCCTTTTTATAAGCACACCAGTGGCTTTAGATTAGGGACTCACCCTTCACTGTAGTCCTTCACTTTAATCTAATGAGTGACACCTGTGACCTATTTCCAAATAAGGTCACATTCTAGGATACCATGGGTTAGGACTACACAAATTTTGTAGGGCACGCAACAACCTACCACACTTGGCTATACCCCAGACCTTCTAATGAAAGATCTCAGAGGATGGGAGCTTAGAATGTATTTGAACACATTTTTTTTTGCAATTAAAAAAATTGTTTTACAAACACTTTTCACAAGATTTATATACCCTCTTAAAATTTCCAGTGCACAAGAAATAACTTCAGACCTGTTGAACATAAATTCATGTTTTTAATAAGAATCCCAAGTGACTCAGGTATTCACTAAGGCTTGAGAACCACAGAGCCACTTGAGGTGACACAGAATGTCCCCTCTCTCACCTCAAATATATAGAAATACTGCATAAAAGAAAACTACATATTTGAATATGTAGCCAAGTTCTAAAGCAATGAAAGAAAAAAATTATCACATGCCAGAAATGGAGAAATCAAAACCAAGGATCAGAGCAAAGGAGCATTAGGCAGGGTATAGAACACTGAGGCTTGGCTGAGGCCCAGATGCCCAGTGTCCAGGTTCCCAGGAAAAAGATGACAGCCCATGGGCCGGAGATTTAGCTCAGTGGTTCTGGCTCCTGCCACACAAGCGCAAGGTCCTGAGTTCGATCCCCGGTACCAAAACCAAACAAACAAACAAACAAACAGACAGACAGACAGCCCATTGCATGTGGGAAGCAGAGGACCAGGGATAAACCTTTTGCATGAAACCTGGAGTTTTAAAGAATGCTTTGTAATGAAAGGGGGCCTAGAAAAGTCAACAAAAGAGTTGCTTCAATAAATTGGAAATTTGGACAATCAAGGAACTAACAGCCACTCACATTGGCTGTGTGAATTCACAGGGTTAAATAGCTTTTTTAGTTGAGATGCCTGTAAGGAAAGAGGATTTGGGTTGGGTTGAGGGAGGTATTGGAGTCATTTTGGTATTGAGGGTCAGAAGAGCAGAGTTGAAGTTTGATGAGATTTGTCAGCAGGTGGTGCAACTTTAGAACATGATAGAGTTGACCCCTGAGCAACTGAGGAGAGGTGGGTTGTTATGGCTCTTGTCTAGATGTCCCCCAAAGCCTCATGAAGTCATAGCTGGGGCTTTTCAGAGGTGGCTGTCTCTAGAGTGTGTGAGGCTGAGACTGATTCATAGTGGTATGCTAGGATTACGGGTGCTTCACCATGGGTGAGAGTGCTCCCTGCCCTAGGGTGGCTAGCCTGGTAGAATATAACAGACAGAAAGAGGGCTGCTGTTATTGCTGCTTGTCACATGCTGCTTCTTCACTACTTCATTGCTTTGCTGCCTTCTGCCTGCCATGAACCATTTCTCCTCTGTGGTGCCCTTCTGTCATGCCATCCTGCCTTGGAGCCAGCCAACTGCGAACTGAAACCTCTACAAACTGTGAGCTACAATAAACTTTTCCTCCTTTAACGTTGGGTGTTGGGTATTTTGTCTCAGCAACAAAAACAGTAGCTAAGACATGAGTATAAGAAATAAAAGGAGAGAGAAAGAAAATCTTAGAGCAAAAACAAGCTTTATTTAAGATAAATACCTGAGAGAGGCCATTGGCTTCAAAGTGCCAAAAGCAACACTCTTTTATAGAGTAAGAATTTAGAAGATATGAACGGGAATGATGAAATTAAGGGCCTGTTGTTCTAGGGATTGGGCCTTTGAATATGTGATCACTGGTCTGTTTCATGTTTGTACACTCTCCTAATCAGGAGCTGAATGTCTGTTGATCAGGAATAGTTTGTATAGTAAACAGATTTAATGAGCTTCATAATTATGGAGCACAGAAGAATGAAGGTAAGAATCACAACTCAGGGGAAAAATGTTCACTGGCTTTTCCCTTCAGTGGGAGTAGATTAAGAACAGAGTGAGGGGAGGAGGGTGCCAAAGATGAACTTGCTACTGTAAAAATTTCCAGTTTCCCCTTGAGCATTGGGTTAACTTTCCATCACTGTAACAAAATATCCAAGATGTTCAACTTAACAAGAAGGAAGATTTGTTTTGGCTCACAGCTTTGGAGGGTTCCATCCATGGTACATAGGTGTTGCTGCTTTTGGGCCTGTGGTGAGGCAGCACACCACGGCAGGGTTGTTTGGAGGAGGAAGACACTCGCCTCATGGCAGCCAGGAAGCAAAGAACCACAAGAAAGGGCTGTATTTCCACTATCCTCTTCGAGGGGACATCCCCAGTAACCTCAGACTTTTCCCTGGGCCCCATCTTTGAAAGGTCCCACCTAGGACTAAGCCTTTAGCTATGGTCCTGGGGGAGACATTTAAGATCCAAACTATGGCAAACCCCATGGGCTCTGCCCACTCTACCTGTCCATTCCTAGGGCCTGGGGTGGGGGGACAGTGGCAAGCAGCCTTAGCAAGCTGCATTTGAGCTGTCAGGGAGGCAGCTAGGATGTCACATGCCCAGGATGAGAAAGGACAGCATAGAAGGGCCCTTCTGTGCCACATGTAATCCAGGCCAGGCCCAATTCAGGAAAACCAGGCTTTCTAAAATTATACAACCCTTACTCATTTGGGGGCCTAACTTGAGCAATAGTTTGGTTTAAAAATGGAAGTGCCTATGTCAATTACAACAATTATGGTTATGTAACAATTAACAGTGATCATGGTGCAACTTTAAACCTATCCTGCTTAATCCTCACCACAATCCTATTAGGCAGATGTAATTGTTATCCCACCCTATCTTGTAGATGAGAAATCTTAGGCTCTGGGACATTATGTGATCAGTCTAGACTAAGAAGTAGTCACTCCAGAGTAAACAGTGAAGCCAGGACTCAAACCTAGGTCCATCTTACTTCTATGTCAATATGTTGACAGTAGCTCACTCTAGAGAATTGATTGCAGATGGTTTTTGTTCTGTTCTTCAGAGTTTTTTTATTTTCCAAGTTTTTTATATAAAAAATGGAGAAAAATTAATAAGCATGAAAAAGAATAACATTACCAAACAGCAAGCCTTTGGAATGTGTTTAGAAGATGGTAGTGGGCCCAGTGCTATTAAGCAGGGGTCCTCATTCCTAGTACCCACAGGCTGGAGACCAGCCGGAAACCACTCTGAGGAGGCTGTGAAATATTATTGAATTGTCTTGTGAATTAGTTATTAATTGAACTGTGAGTCTGTCCTAGGCCTGTGTGACTTGCTAGATGAGCCTTCGGCTGCCATTTAGAAACAGAGCTCCCTATGCCAATGGCCGCAGTTGAGGCCTCAGTGGTCAGTGACACTGAGACGCCTCTGATAGCGCGATAACACTGCAGCTGAGGACTTTATGACTCGTATGCAGCCATTCTAGCTAAAGAAAATGAACAGGTTACTCGTCAATCAAGACTTGTCTTTCACAGGAATGCATTGTTCCTCCTTTCACGAGCTTAGCTCCCATCACTGCCTTAGCCCCACTATCCCCTGCATCTGCCTTTGTGCCTCCTGCATTGTTGTGTAATCAATAAATAATGGCAGCTCCAGAGTGCTGGGGTCTTAGCCCTGCAAGAGCTCTGACCATCCCAGACCCCGTTTATGCAGTCAGAACTTTGTTTTATCATTTTCTTATCCTCACTGTGCCCTCAGTCAGGTAGTTGGGGCATCACACAGCCCCCCAAATGCACGTCGTGCTCAAGATCTTGGCTCACTTAGCCAGCATCTACTCCATTATTTAGGTTGTTGCTGTTTTTTCTCAAATCCAGAGCACAGTGTGCGTGACCCTGATAGACCTCCTCCTTCTGCTCCTCTCCATCCACAGGTCAACCCTTTTCGAGACCGAATCTGCAGGGTATTCTCACACAACAATGTGTTCTCCTTTGAAGATGTGCTGGGCATGGCATCTGTGTTCAGCGAGCAGGCCTGTCCCAGCCTGAAGATTGAGTATGCCTTTCGCATCTACGGTGGGTACCGTGGGGGACTGAGTGGTGAGAGGGTGAGGGCCATAGAGTCCCTGCCATATCTGGAACCCCGCTCACTGATGGGATGGATGGTTAACTGGGGCTTACTTGTGTCTTTGTGGGTATGTATCATGTTTCACAAGCACTGTGGAATAAAAAAAGATTCGGAGCGAGTACCCCGATGGATGGATGTCCTCCCCTCATGCCATGCAATACCAGTGGGACCACTGGGATTGCTGTTAGGTGGTAGCGTGTGGGCAGGGGAGGGGGACAACATATGGTAGAAGGAGCATTGGATGGAAAGTTGAGAAATCTGACCCCTGGAAGTAACTCAGCCACTAAAAGCCTGAGCAACTTGAACAAATCATTTCACGTTTCTGAGGCTGTTTTCTCATCTTTAGAATGAAAAGGATCACCTCTGAGGTCCTTTGACATTTTTAATCTCTGAGATAGACATAAGGCTCTGCTAAAGTTCTGCTTTTCACCAGGTTAATGTCCTTTTAGCACTGCTGGGGCACCTGGAACTCTCAAAATGGAATCAAAAGAAAAGAAGCAAAGAAATTTTCAGAAGCCTTCAAACAGTACACAAAAGATTTTGCATCTGGGTAACTCCTCGGCCCCAGAGGACTCACACAAACTGCCCTGCACAGTTAAGCATTACTCTCTCTGTCTGAGTTGGAGCATGCAACTTCCCTTAGCCTCAGACATGAATGAGTAGACTCATGCAGGCCGATAAGAATCTCTAACTCTTCCTGGCTTCAAGAACCTGAGTATTTGAAGCAACCATAGCTCCTGCAAAGTAAGGGGAAAGTCCATGAAGAAGAGATCCAGAGAAAGGGCGCTCAAAATTTGTGTAAAAACCATGCATAAATTCCTTTCTCACTTCTAGACCACAGCTAAAGGGCAGACTTAAAGTGGCTCAGCTAGGATTTGAGCTGAGATTTGAGCTACCATTGCGTTTGGTCAAGGCTACTCAGCAACAGAATTTGCAGTCTGAGTCCAGCAAATTGCCCATGAAAACTCAAAATTTGGCACTGTTTTGAGAAATACAACAGTATACAGTCTTCATGACAAAATACTTGTAATATACAAATGCTACCTAATATACAAAAAATTTTCTTTTAAAAAATAGAAACTGGCTCTGATATGCCCTAGATAAAATAGCTGATAAGGTTTTTAAACAGCTATTAATAGCTATTGTAGGTAGAGACAGAGGGAGAGGGGAGAAAGTGTGTGTGTGTGGGGGGGTGATTTTGATTATAGGAATTGACTTACATGATTCTAGTGGCCAAGAAGTGTCATGATCTGCTTGCTACCTGTGAGTGGGACAACCAGGAAAGCTGGTGGTTTCATCCAGTCCAAAGGCTGAAGAACCAGGAGCACTGACTCTAAGGACAGGAGACGCTGAATGGCCTGTCTCAAACAGAAAGGGTGAGGTCTTCCTTCTGTTCGGGGCCTTCAATGGATTGAAGGATCCCCACATACATTGATAAACATGATCTTCTTTACTCAATCTTCTGATTCAAATGCTAAATCTATTCTAGAAACACCATCAGAGACACCCTCAGAAATAATGTCTTAGGTATTTCTTAGCTCAGTCAAATTGACACATAAAATTAACCATCATGCCTGATGACATAAGAGAAAATATGCTCACAATGAAATGGAAGGTATGAAATCTCATCAGAGAACTAGAAACTATAAGAAAGAATGAAATGGAAAGTGTAAAACTGAAAAACAAACTATCTGAAATTAAAATTCACTGGAAGGGCTTGGGAAGAGAATTGCAATGATAGAGGAATGAGGTACAAGGTCTGAAACTTTGGAACTTCTAAGAGAAAACAGGGGAAACACTTCAAGTCATAGGCACAGGCAAAGACTTCCTGAATAAGACTCCAATAGCCAGGAAATAATAGCAAGAATCAACAAATGGGACTACGTCAAATTAGAAAGTTTCCGTACTTCTGGGGATTTAGCTCAGTGGTTCTGCCACCTGCCTTACAAGCGCAAGGTCCCGAGTTCAATCTCCAGTACAGGAAGGAAAAAAAAAGTTTCTGTACAGTAAGGGAAACAACTAATAGTGAAGCGACATCCTACAGAATAGGAGAAAATCTTTGTCAGCTACTCTTCTGACAGAGGACTAATATCTAAAATATATAAAGAACTCAAAACACCTAACACCAAAAATCAAATAGCCTAAACAATAAATGGGCAAATGAACTGAACAGATGCTTCTCAAAAGAAGTACAAATGGCCAATAAATATATGAAAAAGTATTCAACATCTTTAGCCATCAGAGAAATGCAAATCAAAACTACATTGAAATTCAATTTCACCCCAGTCAAAATGGCTTCCATCAAGGGTACAAAAAACCCAGTAAATGCTGGTGAGGATTCGAGGATATGGGAAAAAGGATCCCCTCTACACTGCTGGTGGGACTGTAAACTAGAACAGCTACTGCGGAAGTCAGCATGGAATTTCCTCAAAAAACTAAGAAATAGAGCTACTATTTGAGCCAACTTTACCACTCCTTGGTATATATGCCCAAAGAAATTAGTGTGCACACATAGTAGTGCCTTCATATCCATGCTTATTGTGGCATAGTTCACAATAGCCAAGGTGCAGAATCAGCCAAAGTGCTCATCAACAGATGGGTGAATAAAGAAAATATGGTATGTCTACGAAATAGAGTATTATTCAGCCATAAATAAGAATGAAATTTTGTCATTTTTAGGAAAATGGCTGTACCTGGAGATCACCATGTTGAGTGGAATAAGCCAGACTCAGAAAGACAAATATTACATGCTCTCCCTCATTATGTGGAATATAAAAAAGATGAGAAGAAAGTAGAAGGGGGACTATTATTAGGCAAGAGGAAGAGAATAAGTGAGAGAAGGGGATGTAAGGGGCATAATGGGATATGACTGAAATATATTATATGGATCGAGACTCCACAAACTGTGACCTTGGGAGGAGGCTGGGACCGGAGTGATGGTATGAAAATGACTAAAGTGTGTTATATGCATCTATGAATCTGCCAAAATGAAACCCATTAATCTGAAGAGTAAGATACACGAATGAAAAATAAAAGGGAACAGGGACTCTCATCGATGCCTGCACTGTAGAGCTCGTGGCAGGATTCTCCACATCAGCCACGTGTGGAAACAGCCCGAGTGCCCATCAACAGAGGAGCAGAGGTAGACATGGGACACGCAGACCTTCCTGAATTAATCAGCCGTGAAAAAAAATGCTCAAAAAACAGAAAAACAAAAACGAAAAAGAGAGCTTCCAGGACTCACAGGACAATTGAAAAGTCTAATATTTAGTTAGAGTCTCAAAGGAAAGGGTAGAATGAATAAGGAAGAAAAGATACTTGAAGAAATAAAGGTTTTCGATGTCCTAAGTTTGACAGAAGACACAAATTTACAGTAAATTCCAAGGAAGAGAAGTGTAAGTGAAATCACACAGCCGAATTCCATTAGCTTAGTGGTCCACTCTTTCCTCACCCCAAGCATCTCTGGGCGTCCCCAGGGGGCCCAGTGCCTCCATTCTAGCCCCGGAGCTGTGCTGTTCTCTGTCAGACCTCCCACTACAGGAAGAGTTGGGCCACTCGCTGCCCATGCTCCCCTGGACAGGGCGGCTCCTCTGCGAGAAGGGCTGGCCTGGGCTCCACGCTCAGGTCTCAGCAAGAGCTGCCAGTCCCGGACCCTACCTGTGGGAAAGCAGTGGGTGAGGAGCAGCATTATATTAGTTTTCCATTGCTGTGTAATTAACTCCCACAAACTTAGAGGCTTTAGGGGACACGTGGTTGTGACCTCAGCCTGTCTGTGGGCAAAGAGTCCAGACATGGCTTAGTTGAATTCTCCTCTTGAGTTCCACAAAACCTGCAGTCAAGGTCCTAGCCAGGTCGTGTTCTCAGCTTCAGAATGCCTGACCGAGGAAGAGTCTACTTACCAGCTTCCTCAGGGAGTTGGCAGAATTCATTTCCTTGTGTTTGCAGGACTCTGGGCACTGGCTTCCTGCTGGCTATCAGCTGGAGGCTGCCCCCAACTACCAAGGCCTGACTCAGGTCCTTGCCACATGGGCCTCCCAACATGGCTGCACCTTCACATACAGTGAAGGAGAGGGTCCCTTGGAGTGCTCTGCTCTCAGGATGGAGTCTTACATACAGAATGTGAGGGTTTTTTTTAATAGCACCGTATTGATTGGTACATTTTAGGCATACGTAATGATAGCAGTCATTGCCCGGAATATGTACCTGTGCATGGTACATCCCACCCCTTTTTTCCATTCTCGCTCCCCATGAGCCCTCTCCTCTCCCTATGATGAAACAAAAAGCTTCGTTTCCATTTTTTTCATTTATTTTCATTTTTTCTTGTTCTTTCCTTCTTTTCTTCCTCCCTCCTCCCTTGTTACCCTTCCCATTGGAACATTTTCTTCCCATTTCCCAATACCTATTCTACATTGTAGTTCTTATTTCCACTTTTGGTTTCTCTCATCAAAGAAATAATTCAGTATTTAAACACGTGTGTCCAATTTATTTCACTTAAGAGTATGGTCTCAAAGTCCATCCATTTAGCTAGAAATGTCTGAAGCTCATCCTTCTTTATGGTAGAGTAGTACTCCATTGTATATTAAAAAAAAAAACCCACATCTTTATCCATTCGTAGGTTGATGAGCATTTGGGCTGTCTCCAAGATTTAGCTATTACAAACTATCCCACTATAAACATGGGTGTACATATATCACTGTGGTATGATGCTTTTAATTCTTTCAGGAAGATACCAAGAAGAATAGCTGTGTCCAATTGAACCTCTAGTTATATTTTTTGAGAAATTTCCACACTGATTTCCACGGTGGTTGCACCAGTCTGCACTCCCACCAGCAGTGGAGAAGGGTTCCTTTCTCCCCACAATTGCTCCAGCATTTGTTATTGATTGATTTCTTGATAACAGCCATTCTTTCTGGGGTGAGGTGGAATCTCAGCCTTGTTTTCATTTGCA